CCCCAAAACCCCAAAACCCCAAAACCCCGCAACCATAAAATGCTTACTTTGAAGAAGGAATTACACATTTGAACACTTATTATCCCTAAATAAATTTATTAAATTAAAAAAAGATGGGCTTTTTTACTAGACTATCAATACTTTTCACACTTTTATGTCAGTTAAGAGTATCGATGTAGCAAAGGTGTGTATCAAGTATAAATTCAAGATTAAATTGGTTCGATTTTGATCAGTGCTAGGTTTTTGAGGATATTTTTACCTTAGTATTTTTTCATCCTGGTGATTTTGATAAACTTGCTATAGGTTTCAAAGATCTAAAGCATGTTGCTTAAAATCTATTCTTATCTGACTAGGAGTAACTAAGCTAAAAACATGCGAATATTCTTGTTGTGGATATGTAAAAATACTACTGGCTAGCTCAGTAGTTCAATATCGTATACCCAGAGAGTAAGATAATAGTAGTACAAAATAAAACTCATTTTGAGTACAATGGAGAGCTTACACCAAAATATTTAATGAATTGGATAAAGATTAAGACTCAAATTTACCCTCAGATTTTTTAAAACTAAGAAGAAATCGATTAATTCATGGAAAAATATCTGCAGAATGAAGAGATTTTGATTGTTTACACTCCGATGCAAGAACATTTGGCTGAGTAGTTCATTTAGACTTCATAAAGATTGACTATGACTAGTCCTCTCTATTACTTCAGGCTCCTTATCTTAAATGATATTTAAGCAGAAGTTGGTTTGAACAGTTCCTATGATTTGACAATTTATAAAAAAACTAACAATACTATCAGTCGTAAAAATTTACTGCTTAATGAGTTTAATGTGGAAAAATTGGTTAAGCTAATAGAATATGATGTTTATAGGGCCTACAAGGTCATACAAAATTTCATTTAGGCTAACTTATAAGAAAGAACAAACATGAATGTTTACTTAAGGTGTAATTCCAAATTGCCATTTTACAAGTATCAGCTTTCAGAATTTGAAAAAGTTGCTAGATTTTTAAAGGACAAGCATAGATTCTTCGTTTATGATTAATTTGAGTCACCTGCACTTGATGGAATATTTACCAAAGGAGTTGAACATAAGATCAATTAATGCAATATTTTTGTGTACTATGTAGACTCTAGAACCATTTAATAAACTTATTATCTGAGTTTGCTTGATCGAAAATTTAAAGCTAGAGATATATATGCATTCTTAAATTAATATCGTGAGCTCAGTCTTCCAGATTTAAAGCAGAATGGAATATACGAGCCAGATTTTATAGAAGATTATTTGTTTTAGAGAGCTAAATAGTAAAAATAATTCAACAGTGAATAATGCTTATCCTGCAAAATCCTGAAATATGCTAAATATATTCTAGTAGTAATTGTAGCAGTCTCATTATTTGATGAAATCTATGAGAAAATTAGCAAAAAGTACAAATTGGAATGATTATTTTAAGCTCTGTGAATTTAAATTCTTTAAAACAAATAATCATTGCTTTTACAGATTTTAATCTTTCTAGGGGTTTTGGGGTTTTGGGGTTTTGGGGTTTTGGGG